TTGGAGGCTTGAGAATTAATGATAATAAAATTTTAGCATTATGGTAAAACTGGGTTAAGAGTCTTCTTTGCCTCTGTTTTAAATGTTTCTATATGTAAAATATTCATTTTTTAAGTTATAAACTAATAAACACAGATATTCCCTATAGGCTCCCATGTGTACAAAATCTAATGTGATCATGTAAATCAAGAAGTAGTGATAGAAATGATAATAAAATGATCATTGGGTACACAATGACTAACTTATTAGAGTAACAGGTCACCATGAAGAATATGAACAGGGCAGGAAGGCGAAGGGGCTATATCTGTTGATTTGCCCATTTGGCCTTTATCTGTTCATTGGACAGCTATGATTTGACAAATGCTAGGTTAGTATGATCAAAACCAGGGAGATGTGTTCCACATGTGGTCCTCACTCACCCTCCTACCCATCTCTTCTCTTTTAAAATGATTCCATGAATGCCAGAATTAAAAAAGGTAAAATGCTTTAGCTCTTAGGACTGTCCAGCCTTTCCCACTTCAAACCTCTGATGATAGTGGATGCTGTTATCTCCCTGCTCTCCAGCCTGGTTGCTCATTCTACTGGTCTCTTAATATTGGTGTCCTTCAGGGTTTGTCCTAGACCTTCTACCCTACTCTGTCTACACCCCTTTCCTAGATGGTTTTACCACTCTCATAGCCTTAAAAAATGTCAGGGCTGACAACTCCCAATTTATATCTTAAGCCAGGATCCTTCTCAGAGCTCGACTCACAGAACTATCTATCTCATTGACATCTCCACTTCGAGAAGTTCATCCCCTCTCTTCACTGCTTCTCCTTCTATCTCAGTCAATGGCAATACAGGCACTCAGTTGCTCAAGAAAAAAACCACAAGAGAAGTCCTTGATTCCTCCCTTTCCCTTACTCCCCATACCCAATTCATCAGAGAGTTCTTTTAGCTCTACCTTCAAAATGCATCTGGAGTCTGTCTACTTCCATCCATCTTCTCCCCACCACACTGGTCCAGTCACCATCATTTCTGAATGACATTTGTACAGTAGCTTCCCCATGGGTCTCCCCACTGTCACTACACCCACCCAACCAGCAGGTAGAGTGATTTAGAAGCAAAAATTAGATCATGCATGGCACTTCCACCCCTAGTCTGCATAAAAACCCTTCAGTGGGTTTCTGTCACACTTAGAATAATACCCAAGCTCCTTACTGTACCCCAATGCTCTGACTGAGCATGCACCATCCACATCTCCAGCCCCATTTTGAACTACTTCCCCTCTCTTGAGACATTCTTCCTAGCCTGGCCTCTAATGTTCTCCTAGAACTTTACTACTGTCAGTGATATCTCAAGATTGGTGACTCACCATTGCCTGGAGGCTGTTAAAAATCTCGAGATCCACCCCAGACCCACTGAAACAGAATCAGGATTTCTACAAGATCCCCAGAATGAAGTGTCTCCTGGGTGTCTGGAGGTGGGGCTAAAGGTTCCAATTCCTAATTGAAGGTTCATTTCTCTGGCAGCTAGTTCCCATCCTCTAGAAATTACCTGGAGAATAAACTCAGGTGTAGCGGAAAGAGGCTGATTGTGAATAAGAAAAGATGCTCCTCTCACCTTAAACAAGAAATCACCAGGGTTATAGGAGCTCTTGTGTCAAGAACCAGGACAAAGACCACTACTGTCAGTTACATTTTTACTTTTCCAAGACCCATGTTATAGTGTTTACATTTCATTTTGTAAATGAACTAGGTCTTTGGTACTCTGCCAGGAGTTGATCCTAAAAATTACAAACTAGAACATGGTATTTATAATGTTTTCATTATATAAATATTAATCACTACAGAACCAAGTCATGTGATTAGAAAAATAAGTACCATCCTCTGACACTAAATGCATCTCTCCACAGAGAATATCCTAAGCATCAAAGCCATGTGGATTGTTTTTTTCTTATACCCCAGCAAATACTCAAAATCATACCACATTTTAATTTGCAGCCTTATCCTGGAAATCCTCTAATTAACCTTCAAGAATACTTGCTCTCAGCTCCTCTTTCAAGTTAACCTATTCTTGTTTCATGGAAGTGAACCCTCACACAGAGCTCTGAGATATCCCTTTCTTGAATTCTCTCTCCTCCTCCTGGGAACTATCCTTGAGTTATGTATTCTTGAGTTCTTCTCTTTGAAGCTGTTGGTTTCCCTCAAGGCTATCTTGGTTGTCCATTTGTTTTTATGGATGAAAACCAGACTGGTTTGGGGAATGGTTGTGGGTTCCTCTGCATTTGTGTAGCCCTTTTCTCCCCAAAATCCCATTCGAAAATAGGAAGACCAAGTCCATGGATGGGAAGATCATCTGATAGGCTCAATTTTAGAGAGTAGAGCAGGAAACAGGTAGCTACTACCTCCCATCCTCCAAATAAGGAGAACTTTCCTCTGGGAAGGGGCACAAACATCCACACTGGGGCCTAACCTAACTCCCTCAAAGTCTCACCTTGCCATTTCATTATAGGGCAGCTGTCATGGTTTAGGATAATATTCAGAGTTGGCACTGTGAGATAACTGCCTAATGGGGCACAGTTTTTCAGATACCTTTGTTGAACCAGCTTAATTTCAGCCTCTTTCCACTGGTATGTTTTGTACCTGTAAATTCTGAGCTTAGAGCTTTTGGAGAGCTAAGACAAGGGCTCTGTTTCCAGGCTATTTTCTCTTTTGCATCTTCTGAGCTGTGGATTACTCTGCTATAGAAACTCAGCGGTGTCATCAAGTCTACTTTCTGGCTTCCAGAATCATGTCACTATCAGATCTGCTGCTTGCACCCTGTTCTGTTCTCAGGAGTATAATACAAATGGAGTAGCTATGGGCAGGAGGCACAGTGAACATGAATGTCAGTCATTCCTCTTATACACCTTTTGTTCATAAACCATCAGCTGGCAGCCTAGAAAACAGGAAGCTTTGGGTACATTTGACCACTAGTTGAAATACACAAGGTAGATTTATATACCTTTGTAAAAAACCTAAACCAAATAATTCATATGGTATGGAAAAATCTTAATTTCATATCAACAATTGCTTATATTTTTCCATTGTTTGAATATAATGAACAGTAATTCTAAAAAAGAGATTTGCTAGTTTGTAAAACCCTCCAAAACAGAGTTTTAACATAAATTTACTGTTCTCCAAAGAGAAGGTTATTGGCCCCAGTTCTTCATATTCTCGGGGTATTTGGAAGAATATTATTAATCCATTAAGCAGAACTGTAGTCTCCTTCCCTGTATACTGATATTATGCATCATTTTATCATCTTGGAGAGTTAAAAGTGGGGGAGGTCAACAGCTGAAGCTGCACCACGTAAGGAATGAGTTGCATCACCCCTGTGGGAGTTTAAGCTCACATACTAGCTCATATGAGGCAGGGCTTGGTGTTCTCAGCAAAGACTCTAGAAATGTTCTTTAAACCTTAGGTAGCATTTGGTGATTGGGCGAGCATTTTCTGAGCCGGCTCTGTCAGCTTGAAGGAGTCTCCCTTGGAAGACAGGTTCTTTTAGCACCTCAATCCTGGTAAAGAGCTCCCTTGAAGGTTCTGAAGGGGTTAATCCCTTGAGCTTCTGAGATAGAGAGAGCTTGGTTCTAGGATTGAACAGGATGTGCAGAAATATAAGATGTGAGTCATTGCTTCCAGGAACTTAACGTTCTCAACAAGAGCTGTCCAGAGCAGCCAGCACCAATGAAAGCATCTTTAAATTAATTGGCTCTTTTCTAAATCCAAAAGATAAATTAAATAAATGAATTGTCTGAAGCTAGTTGATTTGTAGTTCACATTTCTTCTGGAAAGACTCAACTATAGATTTATTACTGCATTTCTGAGCCACTTGATTTAGTGCTGAAGCTCTTTTGGGCCTTTGATAACTGACATGTTGACCGAGGCCTTGGAAGGTACACAAATACGTTTTCCACGATATTTACTTATGCCCTCTGTACAAAAAAAATGTAAACGTGTTGCCAAGAATGTTACTGAAAATTGAAAAGAGACAAAAGGCATTTTATTCTTTTTTATTTTTTCTATAATGTACCACATAAATATCATCTGCAAATTGTAACCACTCAGCTTGCAATTTTAAAAAATTAATTACATTAATTGTTTTAATCCTGACCCAAGGACATGTTGTTTATTGATTTGAGAGAGAGCGAGAGAGCGAGTGAGCTCTGGCTGGTGTGGCTCAGTGGACTGAGTGCTGGCCTGAGAACCAAAGGGTCACCAGTTGGATTCCCAGTCACAGCACATGCCTGGGTTGTGGGCCAAGTCTGCAGTTGGGGGTACATGACAGGCAACCACACACTGATGTTTCTCTCCCTCTCTTTCTCCCTGCCCTCCCCTCTTTATAAAAATTAATAAATAAAATCTTAAAAAGAAAAGAAACATCAAAGTGAGAGAGAAACAGTGATCAGTTGCCTCCTGTACTCATCCCAATGAGGGATTGAACCCATGACCTAGGTATATGCCCTAACTGGGGGATTGAACCCACAACATTTTGGTGTATGCACAGGAAAATGCTCCAACCAACTGAGCCACCCAGCCAGTGCTCAGCTTGCACTTTTATAACAGTGTTGGATCATGGGCTGAAAAGCAGCTTGTGGGGTTGAACAGGGATGTTCCAGGCTAGACTTTGTTTTGAAAATGCCAAAGCATTACATATTCCTTCATTGGCATTTTGTAATAGTGTAAAGTGAACACTGTCTAACCTTAATTTCAGACATTTTGAGGGAAAAACCACCATGACCAACCATGATAGTTAATTTTCTGTCAACTGGATTGGACCACCTGATGATAGCTGGTTAAACATTATCTCTGGGTATGTCTCTATGGGTGTTTTGAGGAGAGATTAGCATTTAAATCAGTAGGCTAAGTGAAGCAGATGCCCGCCCCCCCCCCAGTGTGGGCATCAGGTAATCTGTTTAAGGTCCAAATAGAACAAAAAGTGCTAGCTTTGCTCCCTCTGCCTAACAGCTCATCTGGAACACCAGTCTTCTCCTGCCCTTGGCACCACTGGTTCTCAGGCCTTCAGGCTTAGGCCTCAGACTGGGATCTACACCATTACTCTTCAGCTCTCAAGCCTTCAAACTTCATCGGCATCCCTGGGATTTCCAGCTTGTACACAGCAGGTAATTGGACTTTCCACCTCCATTATCCCATGAGTCAATACCTTGTAATAAATCTCTTTATATGTGTCCTATTGGTTATGTTTCTCTAGGGGACCCTGACTAATATACCACCTAACAATGATTTCTAATTTGTATTTCAAGGACAGTAACTGTCTTGGCTGTCCTCACACATTTTATTCTGGAATGGCACTGGGAAATGGTTGTCGAGAGTAATAATTCACCAGCTATCCCTCCACTTCAGAACAGTTGGTGAGATACAGTAGATTTTAAAGTTGTTTACTGAGGGGTAAAGACATCCATGGGTAAAATGTGGGGGCAGGACTGTGAGGATAGGGGAATATTCCGGGCATGTTACTATGACTTCCACTTTAAACTAGAGGCAAGAACAAGAAAGGCTGTGTACCTTGGAATTTCCTCTGGTTCTCAGCCAACTCTGAGAAAGGTGAGTACTCACCTATACCTATGCAAGGTCTGCCTCTAGTTCAGAAGGCAGGCTCTGAAGGAGGAGAGCAAGACTGTGCCCCTCATCACCACACACATGCACACAGCTAACTGTTGTTCTCTGAGATTGTGCTTCAAGGCCTCTGAAGAGACCCCAATCTGTAAAACACAGGTGATCAAAGGCCTTCTCATGACACACTGTAAGAGTCTTCTGCCTCCGTTATAGTGAAACCACAGCCCTGTATGGCTGGTCTGAGAGCCAGCCTCATGACAACGCAGACTTCCTAATAGCTTCCTCCAGCCACTTCCAGGTGACTGCCCCAGGAGGGCCTGAGGTCAGGCAGGAGGGCAGGCAGTGTTCCTGGACCTCTCCTACTGCCCAAGGCCATACTCATCCCAGGGTACTATGCAGACACCTTGACATTGAGCGAGTCAATTTAATGAAGAGCCACTTCAATAAAGAGCAGGTACAGATACTTTCTATTTGATTTGAATAGCTGATACCTGGTTCCTGGAACTGAAGAAGTTCTATTCTGTTGGCCGCCTAGTAAAGGTGGTCCTCAAGGACTCCCTGAGGGATCCTTGCATTATCCCAGGAAGCCTCATGCCTACTGTGAGTCCAACTGGTAGTCTTGGCTCCTTGCCAAGTGCCAATCCAAAAGCTGCAACATAGGCATAAAGAGGCAGATCAGCACTTTGTTGTACATAAACTGAGCTATAAATGGAGGTACATGTAAAAATAACAATAAATTAGAGCTTACACTCCAGAAAAAAAATGCGTTTGAGAACAGCAAGTGAAAGGTGGATGGTGACGGCTGTATATTTACCTAAGGTGGGTCTAGGGAAAGTTTCCTGGAGTGATCAAGCTTTTGAGACTTGATTGAAATGTGGCCAGAAAAGGGGAGGCTGACACTGAAGGGGCAAATAGGCATGTGACCCTGGCATTCCTGATGCTGCCCTGGGCCCAAATTTCACTGCATCAAGGAGGGACTGCCCAGACTCCAGTGACCAGATGCTTCCAACACCAGCAGCACCGGAATCTGTATTCTCTGCAGCTGGCTCACAAGCCTCAGAAAGGTCATTCTGTAACTAAACTCAGGTCCAGCTGCCTGGCCCTGTGAAAGCCAATACCTGAGAGGCAGGTGCTGAAGTAAAGGTAAGTGGTTTATTTGCAGATGCCAGCTACCTGGAAGATGAGGGACTGATGTCACAAAGCCCATCTCTACCTCTCAGTGGAGGCAGAGGTTTTTATAAGGAAGGAGAGGGGGAGAGAACAAAAACATCAAGGGAGGGGGCTGCAAAGCTCTTTGCGTGCCGACGAGCACAGTCCATTCCAATGAGGTGAATAATGGTCCGGGGTACACCATCCTGGTTAGTACTCCTGACTTCACATCATCCTGGTTCCACAGTTGAATGTCAGCAAATCTCCCAGAGCTGGGATGCTTGAAGGTTGGGGTTTGTATCTTTTGAAACTAGTTCCTAGGATTCTTATACAGACATGCTGTTTACCTATAAGCTATGTATTAGTCAGAGTCAGCACTTACAGAACAATGTCAAAAGAATGGTGAGGTGGGTTATAATTTGCCACCATTATAATTTTCCACTGTAACAATTCCACACCACCTTCTTTTGACCAATATTTACTGACCATCCATCCTGACCCTGGGAGTGCGGGGATGCCATGCCTGGGATGCCTGCACTGAGACCCAACCCGGAGGAGGAGTGAGCTGAGGGGGAGGGAACACTGCATCAGAGAATATGCAGGAGTTAAGAGTTTATTCTAAAATCCACGAAAAATCATTGAAAAGTTTTTGTTTGAATTTCTGGGACATTACTCCCATCCATATGCTAACAATTTCCAGCTTTATGTCTCCATTCCAGACCTCAGTTCTGAACTCTGCATGCCTGCTCAGCATCTTCAGGAGTCCATTAGGTACCTTCTTCACATACAAATCTGTTCAGCCTGTCATAGTCCCCATGCTACTGATATAAGAAATATGTATTTGATCTTTGTCCTGGTTCCTGGATAAGGATGGGGAGAAGTGTAGGGTGATAAGGAAAAATAGGATCCCCATATCATGGTGGGGAGGATCAAGAGGAATGCTATCCTGTGTAATGGAAAAGGAAACAGCAAAATTATAAAGGTAAACAAAAGAAAACCTATAAATATAATGTTATAAAAGACAAGTCTTGGGGAGTAGTGGAGAAAATAGGTAATGCAAGTCAGCTAATCTTTTCATGTTTCATAGGGGGACTCAGTAGATGCCATGTAACATTAATATATCAAACAAGCATATTATCTGTAATTTGTATAAGTACCCCAAAATACAAAAAGCTGTTAAATGTGGTTACTCTAGAGAGTGGGACTGCTTCTGGGAGGGCAAAGCTTTGATTTTTCATTTCATATTATTCTATAACTCAGTCAGCAAGTTATGGCCCACAGGCTGGCTGCTTGTTTTTATAAATAAAGTTTTACTGGAACACATTCACACTCATTTGAACAAAACACACTCCTCAACTGTATGCTATCTACACTAAATCCACTTCAAATAAAAAGATGTACATGGGTTACAACTGAAAGGATGGAGAAATATATAACATGCAATCATTAAGTGAAAGAAAGGTGGAGTAGCTATATTAATTTTAAAGCAAACTCCAGAACAAGGAAGATTATTAGGGATGAAGAGAGACATTCCATAGTGGTAAAGGGGTCAAATCTCCAAGAAGACATAATTCTACATGCTAATCTTAACAACAGCTTCAAAATGTACAAGGCAAAAACAAATAGACCTGAAAGGAGATATAGACAATCCACAATTAGAGGTGAAGAGTTCAATATCCTCTTTCAGTAAATGACAGAACGAGTAGGCACAAAATTTTAAGGATATAAATGACTCAACCAACACTATCAATCAACTTCATTTAGGTGATACTTATAAAACATCCCACCCAGCACTTCCTGAGCGCACAGGAACAGCCACTGTGATCCAGGCCACCAAATGCCAATGTAAAGGCTGCGTTCCACATATCAGGTAGTTTTGGTCTGAGATACACCAGAGAAGAGCAGGGTTGGGTAATTTGAAAAAGGTATTATGTAACTGATTCTTTTTCCTGCTTCCTCCTTTCCATCTCTACCTGTCCTTCCACTCCCACTTAGAACCTTTGGGCTGGGCTCTGACAAGCAGGAAATGAAGGAGGTGAGGTGTATATGTATGACTGAAATGATGTTTTCTTTTTTTTAAAGTATTTTTATTGATTATGCTATTACAGTTTTCCCAATTTTCTCCCCTTTATCCCCCCTCCACTCTGCCCCTCCAACCCTCCAGCATTCCCCCCACCTTAGTTCATGTCCATGGGTTGTACATATAAGTTCTTTGAATTCTCTGTTTCCTATACCATTTTTCACCTCTCCCTGTCTCTTTTATGCCTACCAATTATGTTTCTTCTTCCCTGTACCTTCCCCCCCATTCCTTCCTTCCTCCTCCCCACTGAACTCCCTCTGTGTGATGTTCAGTTCTCTGATTCTGTTCCTGTTCTGGTTCTTTGCTTAGTTTTTGTTTTCATTGTTTTTCCTTTCTTTTAGGTTCATTTGTTAATAGTTGTGAGTTTTTTGTCATTTTATTATTCATATTTTTATCTTCTTTTTCTTAGATAAGTTCCTTTAACATTTCATATAATAAGGGCTTGGTGATGATGAAGTGATGACTTGGTGATGAACTTGAACTTATCTGGGAAGCACATTATCTGCCCTTCCACTCTAAATGAAAGCTTTGCTGGATAGAGTAATCTTGGATGTAGGTCCTTGCCTTTCGTGACTGAAAACTCCTTTCCAGCCCCTTCTTGCCTGTAAGGTTTCTTTTGAGAAATCAGCTGATAGCCTTATGGGAACTCCTTTGTAGGTAACTGTCTCCTTGTCTCTTGCTGCTTTTAGGATTTTCTCTTTGTCTTTAATTTTGGGTAACTTAATCATGATGTGCTTTGGTGTGTTCCTCTTTGGGTCCAACTTCTTTGGGACTCTGGGCTTCCTGGACTTCCTGGAAGTCTATTTCCTTTGCCAGATTGGGGAAGTTTTCCTTCATTATTTGTTCAAATAAGTTTTCAATTTCTTGCTGTTTTTCTTCTCCTTCTGCCACCCCTATAATTCGTATATTGGAACATTTCAGGTTGTCCCAGAGAATCCTTACCCTCTCTTTATTTTTTCAGATTCTTGTCTCTTTGTTCTCATCCATTTGGATATTTATTTCTTCCTTTTGTTCCAAATTATTGCTTTGAATCCTGGTTTCCTTCTTGTCACTGCTGGTTCCCTGAATATTTTGCTTTATTTCATTTTGGGTATCTTTCATTTGTTCTTTCATTTTTTGACCAAGCTCAGTCAGTTCTGTGAGCATTTTGATTACCAGGGCTTTAAATTCTCCAGCAGATAGGTTGGCAATCTCCTTATCGCTTAGTTCTCTGAGGATTTGCTGTGTTCTTTCATTTGGGCCATATTTCTTTGTCTTGGCACAGCTGATAGGCTGTAAGGGGATGGGGCTTTAGGTATTTACCTGGGCAGGGAAACGCTCTTTGCTGCACTGCCTTGTGTGGGAAGGGTCAGAGAGGGAACAATGCAGCTTGCCTGCTGGTCTCTAGTACACTTTCTGACAGACTCTCCTGTCAGACTGGAAGTATCTCGCATTGAAGTAACCCCAGCCTTAGCCCACCGTCAGCTCTGAGTCTCAGTTTTCTCCTTAAGTCAGTCCCTCTCTCAAAGCTCTGCCAAGCTCAGCAGTCAGCTCCACCCCTCAGCCACCTCGCTGTGGTTTTCCTGAGTTGGCCTGTGGGGCACCCCTTACTGGTCTGGTTGTTTGGGTTGTTCTGGTTGATTTTTTCTTTAATTCCTTGGTTGTCAGAGTTTCATGCAGTTTGATTTTCTGGCAATTTTGGTTGTTTATTGATTTTAGATTGGTTGTTATCCTCCTTTGGTTGTGCAAGGAAGTGAAGGGTTTCTACCCACACCTCCATCTTGGCAGGAACCCCTGATGTTTTATTATAGACTGGAATGTACTGATGGACTCATGAAAGGTACAGAGATGAAGTTATCACGAAGTGGGGAGAGAGAATGAAAAACTGGGGATTGTTCTCTTTTTCTTAGTAAATAATAACCTACCAGAAGTATCAAAGCTTTTGCTCAAGACAATAAGCTTATCTTCTTTGTGGCTCATCACAAAGGCCCAAGAGGCCACCTCTCCCAGGCCAGAATAGAGAGGTAGCCTCAATCCAAAATATAGACCACCCAGACTTGTATATTAGTTTGCTCAGGCTGTTGTAACAAAGCACCACAGACTAGATGGCTTAAACAACAGAAATCCATTTTCTCAATACTCTGGAGAATAGAAGTTAAAGATCAAGGTATCAGCACAATTGGTTTCTTCTCATGACTCTCTCCTTGGCTTGTAGATGGTCATCATCTCCTTTTGTTATGATATGGTCTTTCTTTGTGTATATATGTGCCCCAATCTCCTATTAAGATACAGCCATAAGATTAGGGCCCACTCAAATGACTTCATTTAACTTAATCACCTCTTTAAAGGCCCTCTCTCCAAATATAGTCACATTCTGAGGTCCTGGGGATTAGGACTTCAACATATGAATGTGGGGCAACACAGGCCTGTAATAGCTTGGAAGCCCAGCACCCAGTGGAACAAGATCCTAAATAGAAGAGAGCACTGGAAACCTGCTACAGCCAGTGCAGAGGCAACCAGTGGGTACACAAAACTGCAGTCTATAAGGGCAGGAGCTTCTGGAGCGTCAAGGTTCCCAGGCAACCCAGGATATGTCTGGCTCTAGCCACTGCCAGGGAAGCCAGCTCCCAACTTGTCCATAACTAACTCAGTGCCCAGCCCCACATCCATTACAAACGTTTCTCGTGCTTGCGGCCTTTCAGCACCACCAGTGCACTGAGGACATGGGGCTCTGCAGGGCTGCCCTACACACAGCGAGGTAGTGGGTAAACACACTCTGCCTCCTGCTCTGGCCTCATGGAGCCTTGGCAACACCCCTGCCCAGGGGACGTGATAGATGAGGTGGCAGGGGTAGGCAACAGTGAAAACAAATCTGATCACTTCCCTCTTCACCCTCCCTTGAGAAGAAGGGGCACCTGAATTTAAAGGCTTCAGCTTCTGAAAGATTGGCTTCATTTTGTCTAAAGGACTCCCTAGTGATTTGCCCCTCATTTTCTTTGTCTCAGTAGCAATTTTTCATTTTACTAAATTTAATACCAAAATTCTTATTCCTGTGGGGAAATATTTCAGGGGCAAGTTGTTCTTTATTGGGTAGTGGGATAAATGTTGAATCTGTTTTTCTGCAAATGTCATAATAGAGGTGTGCAAGTCTGGAGGCTTCTGGCCTCTCCGTGAATACTTCTGGTGCTCTTAGGAGAGGCAAATAAGCAAACTAGAGCACGCCCCAACGCCCAGCCTGACTGTTGTTGTTGCTGTTAATAATCTGGGCATCATAAGCACAGCTCTTCTCTACTCCCATGGTAATGATGATTTCCCTACGGAGAAGGCAGGGAGGAAGCTAGACAACACACAGAAAGCAAATGTCAGCCATTGCCTGAGCACCTGGGCTATTACCCAGAACACATGTATTCAGCCTGCACTATTTCTGCTATTTGGTCCTAAGAGGCCTATTTGCTAGAAATTATTTTCATCTACCAGGGAATAAATAAATATTTCCCTCTATGAGAGAGTTCAGTAGAGCTGACTGGAAGATTTGGGGTGGGGGGGGCTAGGGAAGCAGATCTGTATCCCTCCCCCATCACAATTAACTACAGAGGGGGGTTGGGAAGGCCCATCTGCTGACTGGCTGCTTCTGCCTGGCTTCCTTCTCCTGGTAATAAAAAGCTTTCAAAGCACTCTGAACAACCACATTCTGCATAAAAGCCCATTTGGATAATTTTCTGGATGGTTACTTCTTGGTTATAATTAGAATTAAGAGCAATATAATGTAACTACACTACAAAATGGATGTAAAAGGCACTGCTTTGTAGATCTAAAGTAGTTCTGGGACCAGCCACCCAGCCCAAACTCCTTTCCAGGGCCAGGGTCTGTCCCACACCCCACAGGCTTGCTCCACAGCTGGCTCTCTGGGAATGTCAGGGAGCTCACCTAACCAGCATCCTGTCCCATTCTCCTTACTCTACCTTGAGGAGTTATGCTGCATAACTTTGACAGGCAAAACACGTCTCAATCCTTCTCTGGAACTTTCACTTCTGGTCCTGGTTTGTTCCCTGTGGAGTTTTATAGAATAAGTCAATTCTCTTTCTTTAAATGCCTGAAGGAACCTCTGCTGCCTTCCCTTGGACTTTCTGACCTGAATATCTCCTTTCTCTGAAATCTGTTCCACAGGACACTGTCTTGTTAATTTGGCTGCCTCCCTGGACCCTCTCTAGAAAGTTAGAACTTTGTGTATGAGATGTCCATCACTTGTGCTCTCAGCCCATCAGCCAGAACTCAGTGACCGGGTCTCATGTGTAAGCAGGTATGCAATGGGAGGGAGGGGAGCAGCTGGAGATGGGATCGCTGGTGTACATCTGCTTCCAGAAACAACTCCACACTACATGAGGTGATTACAGGTCCTTGGCGTATTATATCTCTAGCTACTTCTGCCATACAGCCTTGGGCAGATGGCAGCTTGGGAAGTGTCAGATATACTGGGCATGTGGTAAAATATTAATGTAAAAACAAATAAGGACTTTTTACTTTAGGACCCAGAAAAAGAAAACGAAACTGCCATATGAGGTACCTGTAGCTAAGTAACAAATTACTACAAAATTTAGTGTCTTAAATGCTAACACACATTTGTTACCCAATAAATTCAGAGAGTCAGGATTTAGAAGCAGCCTAGCCTAGCTGGGCAGTCTGGCCTGCAATCTCTCATGAGGTCACAGTCAGTATGTCAGCTGGGCTACACTCACCCAAGGCTTGACTGCAGCTGGACTCAGACAATTCTAAGCAGCTCATTCACATGGCTGGCAAATTGGTGCTGGTGACTGACAGGAGGTACTTATTAGTCTGCTTCTGCTGCCATAACAAAGTACCACCAGACTGGGGACTTACACAACAGAAATGTATTGTCTCACAGTTCTGAAGGCTGGAAGTCAGAGATCAAGGTGTTGGCAGGGTTGATTTCTTCTGAGGCCTCTCTCCTTGGCTTGTATATGGCTGTCTTCTGCTCCTATTGTCACATGGTCTTCCCTTTGTATCTGTGTCAAATTTCTTCTCATAAGAACATCAGTCATATTGGATTAAGGTCTACCGTCATGATCTTGCTTAACTTAATTACCTCTTTAAAGGTCCTGTCTCCAAATCCTGGGGGCTAGGACTTCAACATACAATTTGTGTGTGGTGGTGGTGGAGGGGGCATGATTTAACCCATAACTGGAGGTCTCAGCTCTTTCCACCTGGGCGTCTCCATACACCACTATAACATCCTCAAGACATGGTGACTGACTTTCCTCAGAGGACAGTCCCAAAGAGTGCAGGGTAAGGCAGCAACCTCTTTCATTACCTCACTTCAGAAGTCACACAAGTCACCTCTGCTACATTTTGGAATTAGAAGTGGGCATTAAGTCTGTCTCACACTTACGAGAGGCAACTTAGTTCCACTTTTTGAAGGGAAGACTGTCCAAAAATTGTGGCATATTTTAAAACCACTGCAGCTGCCATAGAAATATTTCCCTATTATTTCTTTTAGGATCCAATACAGAGATTGCTGCCTTTCGATTTTTTTCTTCCTCAGTCTTCCACTCAAAACTGATACAAATCTAGGACCCATCTCACTGAATGCATTGCAGGGGCACCTGTATTAGCTCAGTGTTTTTCTCCTTCTTGACAATTTCCCTCCTGTGAAGGAGAGGAGTGCTGTCTCTTCAGTGTGGATAGGAAGACTTATTATCCTCAAATTGGCAGCCTCACTTGAGCTGGAAACAGTCCCTTTAGTTTTAGGGAGAAATGGTTTGGGATAATAGTTGCCAGCATGAATTGTTTTTTGAGGTAAGTCTTTTAATGTCTAAGCGTTTGGAGCAAGACTAGATGGATGGGGTACTTGTTCAGAGTACATTCACCATGGCATTCAGTATTGATGCTCTCTAGGACAGTGGAATTAATAAATCAATTTGGTTGGGAAAAAACTATCCCAAGACATTTTCAATAAAGGTAGACCTGGTTAAATTGTGTAATTCTAACAGCTAGAAAAATAATTAGTCATAAAGATGAAAAACACGGTAAAAGTACCAGAACTTAGCATGTGTAAAATCATACGTGAGGTCTTACTGACTCTGACGTCTGAATGTCTGTGGCTGCATACGTATTCCCATGGTGATTAGCTTGTTAAAAAGAAGCAAATTGGAAATGTTTTTTAAAATAGAGGTATTATATAACAGAGACATGATTCTGAGATCCCAAAATATATGCTCTTCCTCTGCTGGCTTGCCCACATTCTGCATTCATGGGTCATCTTGGCTAATGCACTGAAAACCTAGCTTTTAGTAGAAATATACAGGTTAGATCAATTAGATGTTAAAGAATTGTAACATTTGGGGAAACTTCGTATTTTTCATGTTATACCAAGTAGATGAGAAGAGACAAAAACCTGTATTAGCTTCTGATTTCTACAAAATAAACACCACAATTTTATTGATGGGGGAAACTCTAAGAAAAACACAAACTCCAAAATCAACCCAATCAAGATTTTAAATGAGATACATATTAAGCAAAACTCCACTTTCATTAACTCAGTGCTGGAGGACATTCTCTAAATGTAAGTAGAAATAACTTTTACACATATGACAGAAGCATGTTTGAAACCTTTTATTGAACAGGCAATGTATTGTGCAATGGTTTAGGACACAGATGCCTAGTGGAAATGTTTAAAAATTATTTTTGGAAACAGTCTATGAATTGATGTGCCCTGCTGTGTCCTTTCTGCTGCTTTGTAGAGTGACTATCTTCAGAAAAACGGACTCTTACAGCTGCTCTTGGGAACGCATCCCTGCTGACCATAAATGTCACGCCCAGGAGAGAACACGAGCGGAGGAGGCAGGATCCACAAGCAGGACGGAGACCAGAGACACACCCTGATCGCAGGTGGAGGCGAAGACACATGCTCTCCCTGTCCCAGTTATGCATCCATGTTTCGTTTCCCTTTTCTTCCTAGTTGGGGCTCCTTTGATCAAGGGGTTCTGAAAGACTTGCATTCATACCTTTGGGCACAGGGCCTTGTTCCTGGCCCTTCTCAATGGTGTTCTTGTTTTCGGGCACCACTGGCCTGGACTGTGGCCGTGTGTCTGTCTTCCTTGTTTGCTCAGTTCGTTCTTCCAGAGCCTTGCCCTCCCATAACCTGGTGATAAAAATCACTCTTAAGTTTCAGTTTGTTTGCCTTTAATGACACTTTTTCACTAAGTGACCCATCAAGGTGGTGGACATTTTTTATCAGCACATTGTCAACCTATTTTATAATTTGGGGCATGTCACTCCAAGCTTGAGATTTCTTTCTGGCAAGTTCCATCCAGGAGGGCTGATCTGCACTGGCATAACTTGCTCTCTTCAGCTGGTGTAACTCCTTCTCCGTCATTGCTGCAGACTGAGCTGCTGGTACGGTGACAAAACAAATAGAAACATAGCAACGAGTTTAAATTTTCACTTAAGCTTCTTGAATTTCTTTAAAATACGCATCAAGGTCTGAACTGCGGTCTCAAATATAAAATCCTTAATGTGCAAAAATTTAACGAAAATTTAGGCACATAACTTATGTGCCAAGGACACATAAGGACAGGCAGGCTGAAGTATAGTAAAGAGAAACTTCCAGAATAAAACTGCAGAACTCTGGGAACTGGCTGTACAAGTGTGAATATTCTTAACACTACTGAGCTGCACCCTTAAAAATAGTTAGGATGGTAAATTTTGTTATGTGCATTTTGCCATAATTAAAAAGAAATGTAAAAATTACTGATAAATGCAATGACAGAGATGAATCTAGAAACGTTATGCTCAGTGAAAGAAGCCAGATACAAAAGAACACATATTTTATGATTCCATTTATGAGAAATGTCTAAGAAAGGTAACTATAGAGAGACAGAAAGTAGATTCATGGCTGCCTGGAGCTGGGGTGGGGAATGGTGAATGACTTTAAAAGGCACACACGGTTGCTTTTTAGGGCTCTAAAACTGGATTGTGATGGTTGTACAACTCAGTAAGTATGTATGCATTGCCCATCAATACCCACTGAATTGTACACCTAAATCAGGTGAGTTTCATAGCATGGAAATGATAACTAGAAGCTGTTTTAACAAATCAATGTGTCAAGTAATTTAGAAAAAAAACCAAACCAAACCAAACCTGCAAGACCCACCCCAGAAACATATTTCAGAGTGTTTGGGACTATTCGCAGGTTTCATACCCAAGTTCTGATGGGACAAAGAGATCCCTCTTTGCAGCCCCTCCTGGAGGTGGAGCTTAGTCCCCTGCCTTCTGTCCACAGTGGGCTTAGCTGGGGCCACCAGGAAAGACTTGCTGCGGACAAAGTCAGTCTGCTTCATGGGTTCCTATTAGGAGAGAGGAAAGACACATGCTGCCCAGTCAGTCACCTGAAGTTCAGATGGATACAAGCAGAACCCAGGACAAGAAGCCACCCAAGGTCTCTCTGCCAGCAGGAATCATGAGGCTGGTGCTTTCTTGGGGGAGTTCTGCTCTGTGCCCTTGCTGATGTCCAGGCTTCAGAGCACAGGCAGGTGCTCAGACTAGTGTGGGCTTCTCCTGGGCACACATAGGCATCCTGGTTTCTGCCCTGTCCCCTGACCCTTGGGCTCAGCCTTAGATGTTGGCCAGAGGGGATCCCATTTGAAAGTCAAAATGAATTGTGTTTGGAAATACTTTTGAGGTTTTTATGATACTTGGTATACTCACAGAGGCCCCAAACCTGATCACTGGTTAGTATCCATTTTATAAATTCTCTGAGTCTGCAGGTTTACAGGCAAGGGGCCAGTTGAGCCTTGGGTTAGACTGAAGGGAAGCAGGTCCTACTGCTCTGGCTCACCTCCCCGGATGGAGGAAACACCCTGTAGATGCACCGTGGTGGCCAGCAGGGAGAACACAAATGCCATGATTCTCAGCTTGCTTCGAAGCTCAGCTGTCTGGGTTTGAAAAAGTTATTTACAGCCCAGACTGCAAAATGGAACTCTGGGTTCCAGCCCTGCAGCCCTGGGTGGGAAGTAAGGAGTCCTGGCAGGCAACCTGTGCAACAGCAAAAGCGGGGCTGGTTCATCACCACATAAGGAATTGAGACAGAGCTTTCGATATAGTCGCTGCATCTGACTGAGAAATTATTTTAACCCTGTTCCATTTCTCCAGATGCTGTGTTGCCTAGGAAGCAGAGAGCTATCTCCACCGCCTAAGGGATCCACCTGCTTTTCTGCCTCCCTAAAAGCTCAGCACACACAAAAGGCAGACAGCAGCTATCATCACAGGCCCTGGGCTCTGCAAAGACCATGCAGGGTGTGTGGTCTCACGCTGTCTCAGCCCCCAGCCCCAGCTGGCTGCTCTCTCCTGCATCTACAGAGACAGGAAGGGCTGGCTCTTAGCACCTGGGTTCTTTCGGTTGCCTTGGCTGGCTTTCCTATTTCAGACTTCAGGGTCTGGGTCCCATGCTTGTCCTCCTGGTGGGGTGGCTGCTCCGGGGCTCCTTGCCACTTCTGTGGAGTGATGGTGATCCAGGGTGGCCCAGGCTGGCCCTCCGCTCCAGGCCCCGTTGCTGTGGGAGGCAGACCCTTCTCTGTGGGTAGAGACAAAAGGTTGTCAAAACAGTCCTAGTCCCTCTTCAGTCTCACTTTTGCTGCTTCCACACATAGGACACTGTGTGGGGGCAAGGGGAACAGGGGGCAGTGGGAGGGGGAAAGATGTCTGGGAGCCTCTCTGGGGAGGCTATTACTTTTCCTTCAGGGGCTTTGTTTTCTCATTTAAAGATTCACCAAGGAAATTATGCTCCTCTAGTCTGCACCACAAGTGCTCCTATATAAACATTTTAGAGCCAGCTTCCTCCTATGGGACATTTTCTGGAATGACATAAAAGTAAGTGCACAAATAGATAAGATTTCTTTAATACCAGCCTTGCATTTTGGACTAGCACATGCTTCCTGATTTGCTTGGAAGTTGTAGGTACATTATTATCCTCTTTTCTTTTAAAAAATTGTAAGCATGCCCTTCATTTGTAAAGAATGACACCAAAAATGGCCACAGCTATCTCCCTTAATGCTCTAGAGAAAATAGAAATGGTGCCTTTAAAACCATAACATTTTACTGAATTCTCTCCCGTGTTCAGATGCTGATCTTGGGTAGTAAGACTGAGGTAGTCCCCTGTACCCCCCCTTTTTAACTTTTCTGTATTTTCACATTTTCTATAATGAGAAGTTATTACTTGCATCAACAGAAAAAAAGAAGCAATTTTATTTGATATTTTTCAAGGAAAACTATGGATGAAATAAATGGCCTCTCACAGGTTCAAAAGTACATTCTCTCCAAAGTACACTAGACTCAAATGCTCCCCCCAGCCTGCCCCTCTGAATATACACCTCCACCACACAGAACAAAGACTGGCATCATCTCCATGTACCTGGCTCCCGCCCTCTCGTTTGCCTCCTGCACTGGGCACCCCAGTCGGCCAGGTGAACGCAGTGTTGCCTCACAGCAGATGAGGAGTTAGCATCACCATTCTTTGTGTTCGGAAATATGCCAGCCCTTGTTCTGGTGTGTATGGAGTATCATTCTATCTGTTTATGCTTCTGCCTTCAGTTCAACCCAGAGCACTTTTCTCTCAGTTCCTTGGTCACCAAGGAGGGACAAGGGACAGCTGCCACTGCTCTGAGAACCTCTGTCTCATGCCAGAGCAGAGAACGGCCTAGGGCTTTGCACACTGACCTCTCCTTGGCCTGGGCAGCTGGGAATGGCTGCTGCCCTTCTCCTGGCTGCTGCCTGAGAACCTTGCTCTGTCTCTTTGACTCATCCCTTGTCTATTCCTGCCTCTTTGGGCTCTTTCTGGCTGCTGACTTCGTCCCTGTTGCTTTGTACAATGCTTGGGTTTCCTACAGCTCGAAGAAAAAATGTCTCCACTGTTCACGTGAAGCCCCAGTTCTCCATTCCCCTTTACCCTCAACACATATGGCCTCTGCCCTCCTCAGCTAATTCCTAACCCAGCCATGCCATAAACACTGTGCTATCTGCCCAGCCACTGAACCACGAATACTGATGTCTTTCCCCATTCTCAACTTGCTTTACCCCCTGCAGCCCTGATGTGACCACATAATCTCTCTTGGGAAGCTTGTCCTCCATAGGTGTTCCCTCTCTAGGTCCTTGCCAGAGTCTTACTCCTAAACCCGGAAATTCTTCCTTGTTCCTGACCCCCAGCCTGCATCTCTTCTTCCAAAAATATCTCTCTGTTCCACTCCTGATTTCAGTACTCAGATTTGCTTGGATTACTTTCAAATGTATAATCCAGCCCTATTTTTTATTCTTAGACACAGCTCAACATTTCTACTTCCCTTCTTCCCTCCCTTCCATCCATCTATTCCATCCACCTAACCACCAATCCATTGTTTGCTATGGGCAAGGACTGTGTTAAATGCTAAGGTGGAAAAAAGAAACAACACATTATTTCTTCACAAAACTCAAAGTCTAGTGGGAGAGACTAAGTACCAACAAGTAACCATGGTGGAAATCTGAAAATGCTACAATTTGTGAAATTCCATGTAGACATAGGGCCTAATGCCAGTGGAAGGCTTTGAGGGTGCTGCCTAGGGCTGGCGCCTGAGGGACCGCACACCTGAGCTCAGCAGAGGGGCAAGAGAGGCCTCCCAGGTGGAGGGGGCAGAGGCAGGGTGGCCTGCAGTCTTGACAAAAAGGCTGCCCGGCAGGTGGGGGTGACAGAGAAAGGTCCTTCTGGCCTTCCTCCTGTCCACACAGAGAACTTTGAGGGGCTTCTCCAGGGGCACATCTCAGTGGGGAGCTGAGGAGGGAGGGTGTGGTCACAGCCCAGAGAGCTGGCATGGGATTGGATGCCCTGTTCCTGAATCACCCCTTCCCATCCACCAAGGCCCTGCCCAGATGCCAGCTCGTCCATGCAGCCCGCTCTGGTTCCCCAGGTTGACAATCTCTCCCTCCCTCGTTTCTTCTTTAACTCTCTGACATCTTCCCTAGTGGTCAGTGCTACACACGTCTGCTAGCTGTCTACCCCACTGATACATGTTTTTGGTTATTACAATGTCTTATTTATTTAACAAATGGAACACACTACGTACCAGGTCCTGTTCTAATAGTAGCCCATTTATGACATAATTTTACATTTTATTGCTTTTCCAGAGACCCTGGCACACAAAAGG